CCCCCCCAAACCCCCCCCCCCCGCCCCGGGGCAAGGCCAGGCCTGGTCAGGAGGCCACGGAAGGCCAGCCTCGGAAGGCCAGCCTCGGGCCTCTCCCAGACACCAGCTGCAGAGACAGGACGGGGCATGGGAGCAGGGCACTAGGGGGTGTGTGCGTGAGGTATGGGGGGAAATGGTGGCGGTTGTCTACCCAGCGGCGCGAGGCGCTCTCTGGCCTTGAGCAGCGGCTGGGGACAGAAATGAGGGAATGGTGGCTCAGCCTGTTATCCCGCGCTTTGGGAGGCCGAATTGAGTGGATTGCTTGAGCCCACGGGTTTGAGACCTGCCTGGACAACTTGGCGAGACCTCATCTCTACAATAAATCAAAAAATCAACCGGGCGTGGTAGCGCATGCCTGTAATTCGGGCTACGTGGAAGGCTGAGGAGGAAGGATCGCCGGAGCCCAGCAGGCGAGGCTGCGGTGGCCGGGAGCGGTCACTGCACTACTCCAGTCTGGGCGACAGAGTGAGACTCTAAGTCAAAAAAAAAAAAGAAATGAGGGAATGGCAGGGCAGGGTGGGGATTCATGGGGGAATCAGGGGCACCGGTAGGCGAGTGCTTGGAGAGCTGTCGAGATAAATCAGGGAGGGGGGTGTTGCGGGGTGCAGGGACTCGCCCAGCAAGTGCCACAGCACCCACCTGGCCCCACAGTGCCTTCCCCCAAGGACCCCAGCTGGTGCCCTCTGATGCCGTCCCAGGCCTCACCTTCCTCCTCTTCCTCATCACGCCATCTCAGAACCTTGGCAATCCCCGAGCCGCCTCTCTCTCACCTCCCACTCTGGGTCTCGGGGCTGCGTCTCCAGCACCACCTCTCCCCTCTGTACCTCCTCTCTTTCCTGCCATGTCCCTTCTGTGTGGCCCACTGGGGCTGCGGCACCCAGCCCGTGGCTCCCTTCTCGAGCCATCCCAGGTCCCCCCGGGTGAGGCTTCTACGCCATTGCTCCTTCCTGCGGTGCTGGGTTCCTCTGTGCCTCCGAGGAGTCCCACTCGTGGGGTCTGTGTTGAATGACGGAGTGGAGCCAAGGAGCCCCATACAAGTTGAATGTGGCTGTTCCTGAGAGGCCGGGTCAAAGTATTTCTCGCCTGTTTCCTTGGGCGCTCAGCTCCCCATTTTCCGCGCTGTGCTGCTTCTGTTCCCCCTCTGGATCGGATCTTTGGAGCACTCTGAAACAGCTGCATGAGCAGTTGAGAGCTCGGTGGGGAGGGAGACCTGTCTGGATGTCGAAGGCCCAGGGCCAGCCACCCTTCCCTTCTGTAGGTCTCCAAGCTTCATCTGGGTCTCGGGTTCTGAGGCTCCCTTCCCAGGGGTTGAAAGTGGACAGAGGGGAGAACCGAGAAGCCCTGCACCCCGGACCCCAGTGTCCACCGGGCTGCACCATCCTTCATGCCCAGCAGGCTGTACTGTGGGACTGCCGATGGCTCTCTCCCAGCCCAGCAGGGCTCTTCACCCTGGATGCTCCCTTTGCTTTAGAAGCCCTGAGGCCTGCAGGCCTGAGCTGTGTGTGTGTGTGTGTGTGTGTGTGTGTGTGTGTGTGTGTGTGTGTGTGTGTGTCAGAGTTGCCTGGGGAATTCCCTCGTGAGGTATCCAGCAGGGGCCCAGGTGCATGAGTGCAACCCAACCCAGAAGATCCCTCTGGGAGTTTCTAACCAGCAGCAGCACTTGTGCCCCGGCAGAAACTCACTTTGTGGCTAAAAACATGAGAATAGACGGGCTCGGTGGCTCAGCCTGTCATCCTAGCACTTTGGGAGGCCGAGGTGAGGGGATCACCTGAGCCCCTAGGTTTGAGTCCCGCCCGGGCAACTTAGCGAGCCCTCGTCTCTATACTAAATCAAAAATTAGCTGGGCATGGTAGTGCACGCCTGTAGTTCCGGCTACTCGGAAGGCTGAGGCGGAAGGATCGCCGGAGCCCAGCAGGTCGAGGCTGCGGTGGCTGGGAGCACGCCACTGCACTTCAGTCTGGGTGACAGAGTGAGACTCCAACTCAACAAACAAACAAACAAACAAACAAACAAACAAAAAAGCATGAGAAATGACTGGACATGGTTGCTCATACCTATAATCCCACCCAACACTTTGGGAGGCTGAGGGGGGAGGATCTCTTGAGCCCAGAAGTTTGCGACCAGCCCGGGCCACACAGTGAGACCTCATCTCCACAAAAACAAACCAACAAAAATTTGCCAGGTTTGATGGTGCCCACCTGAAGTCCCAGCTACTTGGGAGGCTGAGGTGGAAGGATTGTCCGAGCCTGGGAGCTTGAGGCTGTGCCAGTGAGAGGTTATCATGCCACTGAACTCCAGCCTGGGCAACATGGTGAGACGGCTCTTCCAGCCCCTTAGGGAGCCATGAGCAGGTCCTCAGAGGGGGAAATTTTTGCCTGTACTGCTCTGGTTCAGTGCCTCGAGAACCCAGGAAGGAAACAGCCTTTATTTTTCAA